CCCGAGCTCGGCCCCTGCGAAAGCCCCCGCTGACGCCCTGCGCCTCCTTCTGCAGCGAGGCCGGGCAAAGGCAGGCGCGCCGAGAAGTGCTTTTGCACGCGGTCAAAGAGGAGCACGCATCCATTTTCCTGGGGCAGGCTGCAGGGCTGGGGCTAATTAGCGCCACTTAAGAGTGACGCGGTACCTGTAATTTCTGCACGCCGAGGGCCTGGGTGTGCTGAGCCAAGGAGGGACACGGTGGGGCACTGAACGGCTGCTGCACGCTCAGCTCACGCTGCGCCGGCGAGCGATAGCAGGTTCGTAAGAAACCCTGTAATTAACACATCGTAGGAGCCCAAGTCTTGCAACTGGAGGGAAACAGGGGAAATAGCAGAGCAAAAATTTAATTAACGAAGGTCGTTAGCTCTCCTCGTTCGCTCTGAGCGCTGCTTGAGTTGCCGCATCGGTTTAGCTTTCCTGACCCTCTCCCCCTTGAGGATCCCTCTCCGGGAAAAGCCACCAGCTCTGCAGCCGTGCCGCAGCGCTTTTTTCTGTTATAAAATATTCTAATCATCTCATTAAACTGTGTGCTGCTTTTGTTCTGTAGTGTTATTTTAAAACTTATGCCATACGAACATTTCTGGTTCTTTTGAGAAACCCCTGCGCTCGAGGGGATGCGCACGCAGGCGTCAAATACCGTGCGGTCCGCAGCCGGCGGTCAGTGCGGGGTTGGTGCAAGTAGAAGCAATTGCAGCCTCGGGTACTGTGATACGTCCAGATGCCCATCACCCTGGTGTCTGACACAGACAGGCCAGGGGACAGTTCACCAGCTGCAGAAACTGGTCTCCGAAGGCATTCTCTCTTCCCGTTTGGGCTTCCACAAAATACCTGACGTTTTCTCGGTGAGACCGAGAACATCTCAGAGCCAAAATCGCCCCACGCTCCCAGCCCCGCTCCGACCAGCTGAACGGCAAAGTGGGCCCGGAAAGAGCACCCATCACCCCCAGCCGCGGTGCCAGGCAGGGAGAGCCTGCTACAGCCGCAGGAGCCGTCGGGGCTGCCCCACGGCCCCAGCCCCCGGGAATCCCAGCCCTGACCCTCACCCTGATCCTCACCCTCATCCTCACCCTGAGCCTAAACCTGACCTTCACCCTGATCCTCACCCTGATCCTCACCCTCACCCTCATCCTCACCCTGAGCCTAAACCTGACCTTCACTCTGATCCTCACCCTCACCCTGATCGTCACCCTGAGCATCACCCTCACCCTCAAGTTGAGTTTCAGCTTCATCCTGAGCATCACCCTCACCCTCAAGTTGAGCTTCACCTTCACCCTGAGCATCACCCTCACCCTCACCCTGAGCCTCACCTTCACCCTCATCCTCACCCTGAGCCTCACCTTCACCCTGAGCATCACCCTCATCCTCATCCTCACCCTAAGCCTCATCCTCACCCTGAGCCTCACCTTCACCCTGAGCATCACCCTCACCCTCACCTTCATCCTGAGCATCACCCTCACCCTGAGCCTCAAGTTGAGCTTCACCTTCACCCTGAGCATCACCCTCACCCTCACCTTCATCCTGAGCATCACCCTCACCCTCACCCTCAAGCTGAGCCTCACCTTCATCCTGAGCCTCACCTGCACCCTGAGCATCACCCTGCCCCTCACCCTCATCCTCACCCTGACCCTGACCCTGACCTTCGCCCCGCAGCACCGGGAGGTCCCACAGCACCCATGGGTAGCTCATCAGTGTTCAGGGTGCTCATCGCTGCCCGGGAGGGTGGTAGCACCCGGCAGGACCAGGGTGCCTCCGAGTCCCCGCCCAGCCCACGCCCCCCTCCCTCCCTGCGCGCTCCCACCGGACGCGGCCGGGCAGCGGGAGCGCTCGCAGCCCGCGGCTGGGGACGAGGCAGGGGTGGTCTGGCCGGGGGCGGG